AATTATAGATGCATGTGTTAATAGAATGTCCTAGTGTCCTTGCCTCCTGTGCATGGTGAGCCAAATTGTAGAGAGATCAGGGAGGTTCAGTGCCTCCAATACTCTTTGCCTACACTGAGTGAGGATGGGGTGGATGAGGAGGGACGCTTCCTTTGGATGGCATCTGGTTAAGTAGGCTCTGGGTCATTTCATCACGACAAGTTTTGATCATCTACTATGCACCCCAATGCTACCTCTTGTGTGTGTGTGTGTGTGTAGGAGACAACCATCAAAAATAGACATATGCAGATATCAAGTTGTAAAAATTATGAAGAAAAATACCGCAAGGTGGGAAGAAAGGCAAGTGACAGGACACAGTGGTGGCTCTTTGCACGGTGTGGTGTTGTGATGTTTGAAATAAGACCTTCTGAAGAAAGGGAGGGAACCATGTCACTATCTGGGGCACTTATGGAAAATGTACCCTCCAAGCAGACTGGCCAGTTCTTTTCATAAGTAAAATGTAGAAACTGGAGCAGCAGGGCTGGGGAGGTGGCTCAAGCTATAGCGTGCTCGCCTGGCATGCGCAGGGCTCTGGGTTCGATCCTGAGCACCACATAAAAAAAAAAATAGAAAGATGTTGTGTCCACCGAAAACATTAAAAAAAAAAAAAGAAAGAAAGAAACTGGAGCAGCAGATAAGAATGTTGTTCTGGAGCTCACTGCTGCTACTGTGCAGACTACCTGGCAGGGATCCTGAAGAAGAGCTGGCAGTACTTACAAGTGTACATATGCCCTCTGACCCAGCATCCCCATTCCTGAGTATATTGCCCCAAGAAACACAAAGGGCCACTCAGAAATATGTTCCAGGACCTCACTAAACTAACAGGAAGGTAAAATATGGTGGATGGCCCTACGGTATACTTCACATGAGCTGGAAACAATAGGCTGATGTACCCATGGCAACATGGATGTATTTTTTAAAGACTGAGTGGAGGGGGAATATGATCTGCTTCACAGAATAGTATACATACAAACAAAAATGTACATTTTCACAAAAGAACCCCAAAATCACATAAGATAAAGGAAATATCACATTACACTGGTTTCTATGGGGGTGGACAGCAATTGGGCTGGTTTAGTTACTATTGCTCCACAAAACTTCAACCCCCAAACCCAGTGGCTTAAAATAGAAACAATCATTTTATTGTAAGACTCTGGTGCAGCTCCAGTCAGTTGGTAACTGGAGCTGAAATGAGCTGAAGCAGCAGGAAGCTGGTGGGGATCTCTGTTCTCAAATTATTACCAAGGGCTAGTTGTGCTACCTCATAGCATGGCTGCCTCAGAGCAGTCATACTACTTATATGGCAGTTCAGAGTTCCAGTACAAGTATCTGGTGCAGTTGGAAGTTTCACTGTCCTTTTGATCTCGCTTCAGAAAAACATGGACACAAAGTATCACTTCCATAGCCTTATATTAGTTATAAGAAAGGCATATACTATTCATAGTCCAGAAGGGAATTAGACTATCTCTTGATGGAGTGAGGAAAGATTCTAGAAGAACATGCAGTATGAAAGATATTGTCATCTTTGTTAAACAAGCTGCCATAGTCTACCTCATAGCTGCAGTTTACATTTCTTCCCATACAAGATATGTTTTCCCAAGAAACCACAAAAGCCTCCTACCATGACTCAGAATCAAGCTTGAGGCCCAGGGTCTTATCATGTCAAGGCTTGAGTACACCATACTGAATCCCATTATTTATTATTATTGTTATTCTCTTCTTTCTCCTCCTCCTTCTCCTCTTCCTTGTCTTCCTCGTCTTCCTCCTTCTCCTGTCCCCCTTCCCCTCCTCCTCCCCCTCTCCCCCACTCCTTCTTTTCCTTCTCCTCCTTTCTTCTTATTTTGGTACCAGGGCTTGAACTCAGGGTTACTCAACCACTGAGCCACATCCCCAGCCCTGTTTTGCATTTTATTTAGAGACAGGGTCTCACTGAGTTGCTTAGAGTCTTGCTTTTGCTGAGGCTGACCTTAAATCCTCCTGCCTCAGCCTCCTGAGCTTCTTGATACAATGACCTGTGAGCCAAATGGATATCTATCTGCTCCCCTGTCCTCCCACAGCATGAAATGGTATAGGCTTGGAGAAACTGCCAGGCATATATTTCATAAGATGAAGGAAATGAAAAGCACCTGTCTCTGGTCCACAGCAATTCTGAGCTCCATTATCCTGATTAGGGCTCAGACCTATTATCTGGAGATTATTCTCCATGACTCTTGGCTCTGCCTTTTGTGCTTATTGCTATCCTGAGCTGTCTTTCCCTCTTAACAAAAAAAAGCAGTCTGTATATAGTAGTTTTCTGTCTACGGATCGCCTACTCATAAAAGTTCAGGTGTATAAAGCCTTCATTTGTACTGTGTCTTACTCTTTCAGTTAAAGATGACACAATTGTTTTAAAAGCTTTATGAGTTTCTTATGAAGATCCACTGCATTAAAAGACACTTCTTATGAGATTGCTCTTCTTAATACCCTTAGAAGTCCTATTGCTTAATGGAGAGGGCCTGAAGGACACCCTTTTAGATGTTAGCCTTTGGTCTGAAAAGTTCTAAAACTGCTGCCTTAGATCTTTCTGAGGTCCTCACAAAGGATCTTACAATACTACCCTGGAGTTGATTTTTGTACTACAACCTTTTTATAATTTGAAAATCAGTTGCCACCTAGAGGACTATGGGAATGAAGAATCATCTTGGCTCCTTAACGGCATTACTTGTTCCTCTCACATGTCCTTACAGGCAGTGGACAGGGGGCACTTTTCACATTCTATCAGGATACCTTGGCTAGAATAATTGGCTACGTGTATTTCCTATGTTACCACAGCTTCAGCGTTGCCAAACTTCCCACCACCACCGAACAAGGGTCCACTTCCTGTCATGCCCTCACTGAAAGCATCCAGGCTTCTGTTAACATCTCTATAGTCACACTTTAGATTCATGAGACCTTTCAGCCAGTACCATGTGGCTTAGATTTATTTTGGAACTTCTTTCAGCTACCCAAACCATTTTTAGTTACTATTGCTATACAACAAATCACTCCAGTTCAGTGGCTTAAAACAATTATATCACGTCTCATGGTTTTTGTGAGCCCCTACTTCTACAAAAACTCAATGGGGTAGTTCTGGCTTAGGGTATCCCAGATAGTTATAGTGAGACAGTGGAACCATGGGGACTTGAAGCAGTGAGGAGTAACTGGACGTCCCTCCTCTTCTTATAATCTGAGGTTGGTCTTCCCTGCATGGTTTCTCCACACAGTACTTTGGCTCCTTCCATGAACAAGAGTCCATTTCAGAGCCCATGAGTATTTCAAAGACCAAAGCAGGAATTTCACTTCTTTTCATTCTCTTTTCAGATTGAGCCTTAGGAAGTCATACAAGGTCATTTCTACTGTGTTCCACTGAATAAGTGAGTCACAAATCTGCACAGATCTAGAAAAGACTTCACAAACTAAGGATCTGTAAGAACATGGAAGGGTTCTGTTGTTGCATTTTTGGATAATAAAATGTCATGGAGAATGAAGAACAGAGGGGGGAAAATACTGTTGGATCAAAGCTGAAGGCGAATCCCTGAACTGAGGTCCATGCTTAACTCAGCATTCTGCAGTCAGGTTGCATTTAGACACACTCAGATCTAGCAAACAGAATCCTCACCATCTTCCTTGCTATCCCAACCAAAAGTGGTTCCTTCAGAAAGGACCAACTATAGGTAGGTCATTCAAGTAGGCTTAAGTTCTACTGGGTCTAGTTTAACATCCCTGCCAGTGTCATTCCCATGCTAATTTAACTAACCCCTGCTGCTGTTGCAAAAGTAAAATGCCCTAAGATTCTTGTTTTCTAGGCTCAACTTTCTGCACTTAGCAGTCCCAAGTTTCTATATTTCTTAATTTTAATAACTACTTCTTAAAGGGCAACACCATTGCTTTAAGGCCTCATTTTCCCTGTCACTCAGGATCACAATTTCTGAATAAACTACCCTTTTTTTGGGGGGGCGGGGATACAGGGGGATCAAACACAGGGGTGCTTAACCACATCCCCAGTCCCCACTTTTTTAAAATTTAGAAACAGGGTCTTGTTGAATGCTTAGGCCCTTTATAAGTTGCTGAGACCAGCTTTGAACCTGTGAGCCTATTGCCTCAGTCTCCCAAGACTCTCACAGGCATGTGCCACCACACCCAGCAAACTACCTTCTTAAAGAGGCCAGACACTTATTCCAGTTTTAAGTCATGTCACAAGTAAAGCATAGACTTAAACAGACATCTTTGGAGGAGTTGACAGCAAAGGACATACAGGGGTCTAGCAAGCAAAGGATAGTCAATTATATCTTCTAAGTAAAATGTTGGTCACCTGAGCCCCCCTGCAAGTTCACTGAGTTTCAGAGGTTCCAGTCCATGATCACGGCTGTGGTGAGGCAGCACATCACGGTGGGAGCATTTGCCATATTTACATCTTGGCTTACTATAACACCATATTTGTCAGTTTGAAAATGATTTTAATCATTTTCAGTGCAAAGATTTGAGAAGGTAGGATTGAAGATCAAGGAAGCCTTTCTTCCTTGTTTCCTGGGACTTTATTCTAGAAGTTCAAGATCACCATATGACACATTTAAGTGACTACTAATAATAAAGAGACTGAAGCTGGTCAATTACTGCTTTTCCCAACTCACAAAACCATGACTTTAATGCATATAATTTTATTTTTAGATGTTACATATATTTTAAAAGAATAATTTATTTTTATTCTTTTACTCTAATATTACTTCTACTTGGAACACAGATGAAGGAAGATATGTTAACTTAATAATGGCTGAAACCAAAATTTTGTGAAACCAAAGCAACAAATGACCTTCAGTTCAACAGGAGACTTTCAGATACCTGAGCATTATATTTCCCATTTTGTATTAAGAAGCATAATATTGAAAACTGTCACAAAAAAATTTGCTGAGATTCCTTAGCTAATAAAAAATTACTGCATTTGGTAAATTCTACTCCGTTTATTTGAAAAAGCACACGTTAAAATAGTTTTGATACAAATGAGTTATAAATGTAACTTAAAAATCAGATTTTATGTGGTCAGCAGCAAATGTTTAGAACAGTGCACATTTTCCTCTTTCTATAGTTGTAGATTAGAAAACAAGTTTTTGGACTTTTATTGGCAGCTTATTTCAATTTAAATCAAAATTAGACTCCTCCACCACCAAAACCAAAATCTAGTTTTTCTTATAGAAATGTCCTTGTTCTTAAAATACTGCTTTTCTTAAAATATTTCCTTTTCAGTTTCATAAATACATATTCTAATATTTATTGCTAGTAATATAAGGAATGCTTATTGATAGTCAATATTTTTTTTAAATAGTTTTGCACTAAAACTAGTATCAAACAGAAAATATGGGCAACAGTTCTATTCATGTTTTCTCTAAAAAGTCATAAATCACTTTTTCTTTTTTTTACAATAAACTATGTTTGATCATTCCTAGGGGCACACTTTTTAACATTTCTAAAAACTAGGATATTTCTTATAATTGAATGATACCTCACCATCAAAGGTGCAGCTTTTGGCTCATGCAGCTACTAACTGCTCTCCTGCTCCACAAGCAACCACCACTTCCCCAGCTCTTCTCCCAGCCCTGTGTGCACAGACCCTCTGTCCTGTGTCCTCTCAGCTCAGAGCACCTCGACTGCAAACTGAGGGCTTTTAAACCAAGCCAGCAGGATCTAGTCAGGATAAATAACTGCATCATCACCTATTTGATACTGGTTATACTGGTTACAAGTTCTTATTATATAGGGCACAGGTAAAGATCTGAGGAAAAAAGCATTCTGTCTGTTGGCAGTGCTTCAGTACTTCACAAATGTCTTATAAACAGACAGCATCTTACATTTGATGATATACAATAATAAAAAGCCACAACCCAAATCTACAATTGAACCTCTGGGGTTAAAAATTGCCTGTAGGCAGAGATTTTGTAATTCTAGTCCTGTGTAGGGTCCTCATAACTAATAGATTTTGTAAAAAAAAAAAAAAAAAAAAAGGTCTATTGTATGTATCCATAGCCCACACTTGCACCCCTTCTACAATGTGAAATCCCTCCCTTCACCTACTTTTGATAATTTAATAGTAGAATGTAATATTCTGGAAAAGCAAAACTAAATATAATGAAGTACTCAAATTTTTATTTTAATTTTTAAAAAATACTATAGAAATAAATCAAATTAAACAGATATGTACATATGCATATGTATAAAATTTTACTTCTGAAAAACAATCTACAAAAGTAGATGGTTAAAAATAAACAAACAAACAAAAACAAACAAAAAGAACTTAAAACAATTTAAACCAGTACAATGTAACTGATTTTCTCAAAGGAAAGTAAAAGTAATTTTCAATTGCTGGTTGTAGAGCTGGTTTCCTAGGCTTTTTAAAACATTTTATTATAGTCAGATAAAAGGAGATTGTTTTATTTTAGAATATCTCCAGTCTCATGTTATTCAAATAGTCCAGATTTTTTCCCCTCACGAATCTTTCAACATGAGGACAAGGCATATTAAATTACAAATTTAGTTCAGTTGTCATCATCTTCTTGAGTCACAGGTCGGAAAGGCAAAGTAGTTTGTCCTCTTTCAGGATCAGACATTCGAAGAATTCTAATCAGTTTACTTGAAGGAAGTGAGCTAGAGAAAGCAAAATTAATTACTCAAATTTCCAAGAAAGTTTTTGTCCATTGAAAACAAAAATCTAGGGTAAAGCACTTGCCTACCATGTGCAAGGTCCTACATTCTATTACTAGCACCTTGGGGGAAAACAAAAAAACCAAAACACTAAAGCCTAATACTACTTCATGAAAATACAAACCTACATGATTGTTATTTGCTAAGATCAGGATACATTTAATATGAAGAGTTCTAGGAGAAATATAATTTGCAATAAGGAAATATTTGTTTTCATTTAAAAAAATTAACTTACTACTTAGATCCCATGGGTTTTCAGCATAGAGGAAAAGAAAATGAAGGAGGATATTTTATTTCAGGGATTGAACCCAAGGATGCTTAACTGCTGAGCCACATCCTCAGCCCTTTTTATTCCGAGACAGATCTTGCTAAGTTGCTTAGGCTGAGATGCTTTGAATTTGCAATCAGCCTCCCAAGTCGCTAGGATTACAGGCATGTGCCACCGTGCCCAGCTCAACTATTTTAAACTCTTACTCTTGTTTAGCCAGGAAGGAGTTACATGAATATTCTTAATCAGAAGTTTAAATCCCAAACGATCATAGGGCCATTTCAGAGGCTGAATATCAACTCTGACACAGTGCCTGACACTGCAGATACCCAACAAATATAGATTAACAGCATAGCAGAGTTCTTTATTTACAAAGACTAGTATTTGCAAATCCCCAAGAAAAGAGTCCAGACTAGGGAAACCACACATTGTTTCTCTCTACTACATATAATACTAAAATTATATTATTATTAGTTGGTCAGAGTAATCACAAAGAAACAAATTAAAAATAGAAATACTAAAAAGTTAATAATCATATTTTAATTAGTCATGGAAGGGAGATCACACAAACAAAATTTTAAAGAGCTAAAAAAGGAGAAATTATTCTAAACGTCCTGAACCAATACAGGGGTTTTCTCTTCATTGGTTACTTACACATTTGCATTTAAGGGCTAAGATAAATTAAGTTTTCAAAGAAAGAGAAGATTTCTTTCCCCCTTAACATACATATACACCCGCAGAAGTTTTAAGAAGTTACCTCATGCTTTGAGGGGTAAGCAAGATAAACTGTCTAAAACGCTGGGAATCTGCCATCTTAAGTATCATATCCATTGCAATTCTCCTGTTAACCATATCCTGGAGAACAAAGACAAAGGTTAGGATTGGTACTATATTTTATCCCATTTCTATAAAACCAGCATTCTATTGGCTGATAGAAACTCCCAGATTTACTTTGTCTATGATGCCGAGGAATTTATACCTGGAAAGACAGTATCAGAAACTAATAGGGGAAAATAACTAAATAAATATATCTTCCAGTTTACTCTTATACTAAAAATATTCCTATATAATAGTCAAAATATTTGCATGTATGGCCCCCTAACTCATATTCAAGTAGCAATTAAAATAATCAGAAAATGTGCAAATGATACAACTAAATGCTAACAGTGTAAATTTAATTAGTTCAGTAATGGTTTAATCAGAATAAAATCGAAAGTGTCTGATTTCATATTTATCAAGTCTCTCAAATTGTCCCTCAGTGATTAAGAGATAATGTTTTTTAAATGTTTTAAAATCCTTCCTCATTACCTTATATAGCCTGTACAATTATAAACCAATTTGAATTTACAGGTCAATTCCTTGAATCTTTAAAATAAGTTAAAGAGCACATCAATGTATACAAAAAGAATAATGCTTCATTAGAGCTAGAATTTGAAACTAAATGAATAGACCCTGCTTATAATTTGAGTTAAATAGAGAAAAAAAATCAAAGTATCATTTAATCCCTCACTTAAAAATTCCTGAAAATTGAAAATAGACAAATAAAGGTCTTATTTGACACTGTATGTAACAGTATGCATGGTTTAGAACATGGGTTTTGGAATCAAATGGGGCTCCAAGTTTTGCTATATTTTCTAAAAGAGAAAGAAACTGCTCAGAATTCCATTTGACATACAATATGGGCAATAAGACTACATAATGACATTTTAGACAAAAACACTGCATGAAAAGAATAATTATCATCTCTGACTTATAAATTAGCTCGAAGACAATTCTCAGAGGAGTTCCAACCCATCTTTAGCAATTACATAAAAGGAAAAAATTGACAGTGAATAATTATTGAGTACTAACAAATATAAATTCTGATTTGTGAATAATTATTTACTATTTACTATGGGCTAAGCACTAGAAGACATAAACATGATTAAGACATAGATAATCTTAAAAAGGTTACAATCTGGTGGGAGATTCACACATAAAAAGAGGTGACTGTAACAATGAAAAACACTATAATAATTAATAATATACAATATAAAATTTATGTATCTTCATAATATAAAAATAATATTTTAAGGCAGTGTCAAGAAACTCTTAGAAGTTCTTTTGAGAGGATACGGTGGTCATAGAAGGTGTCATAAGGGTGACATGTGAGCCAAGTCTTAAAAGATAAGCAGGGTCTGATGCATAGCTAAAGAGGGCACAATAGGCAGAGATGCCATATTTGGAAAATTACAAATAGCTTAGTACATCTGAAAATGCCCACAAATACTACATCGTGAAAGTCTCAAAATTACCCTACAGAATTAAACATATATCCCAAATATGATAATTAACCACTGAGGGGCTTTAAATAGGTGAGATCAGATCTATTTTAGAAAATATAAACCTGCTAAAAAGGTAGAGGACACACAGATGGAGGAGCAAGGCAGAAATCTGGGAGTAGGGACAGGAGGCTCTCATGGCAGGACAGACAAACAGAGAGGGATGAGAGGCACCAGAATTGTGGTGAGAAGGGAGGAGAGGCAAAGACTAGCACAGCTTCAAGAGGAGCAGAGGGAGGTCAGACTTAGTGTATAAGTAAAAGGAAAGGAAGAGTCATAAATAAACTGCAGGGTTTGAAGCTAGGTGACAGTGGTGGTAATGACAGTTTGGCACTAAACAAGGTAGGGAATTTAGGAAAAGCAAAAGGCTTTCAGAGGAAGACACACAATGTCTCAGACAAACTGCATTTGAGAGACTGGCTGTTTACTAGGTGATAACCAACAGGCAGTGGAGCACACAGATCTAGAATGTAAGAGAGATGTCAGGATGAGAGGCTTCTATCTGGTAAGTGCCCATGTGCAGTTAACAGCTTTGGGGACTCTGTGAATGCACGCACACTCCTGAGATGGTAGAGAGTAGAAAAGAGGGTACAGAGTCCAAGAAAATCAATAATAGTGTAACAAGCAAACAAAGAAAACATTTAAGAACACTAGAATTAGGGAAGGCAGCCTAGCAGACTGTAAACAGTAGAATACAGTAAAACCAGGAAGCAGAGTGTGCAAGCTGGCAAGATGACACATGCTAAGGGATGGAGGACAGGTCTGTGGTGCCATGTATTTGAAGAAATAGAATAGGTATAAGCTCATGTAGGATTTCTGTTAAACAAGATTTCCTGCAGTAGGGCAGCCTAAACCCAGACTACCATGGACTTAGGAAAGAAGTATTAAAGAGAGTAATTGCTGATTTATCTGGGCCATGTGAGCCCATCACATGCAGGACCTCACTTGAGCCTCACTATAACCCTAGGAAGCATTCATAACTTTTCCATTCATGAAGAAACTGAGCTGCCAAAAACTAAATACCTGGCTTCAACTTAGGTAATCAGTGGCAGAGGCAGGTCTCAAATCCTAATATTTTTTTTTTAAGTTCAAAGTCAAATGCTCTTACACCCTTAAAATATATACTTTGCCACGGGACAGCCAAGAGCAAACAGTAAGAGCAAGAGTGATGGCCTGGTGACAATTTTGTTAGATAATAACAGCCTGAACATATTTCTGAGTTAATGGAAATAAGCTAGGGAAGAAGCTGAAGAAAATTCCAATGGATGGACAGACAGGATGTTCATTCTGGGAGAGAAGAACTGAAATTTGGGACAGGATGTACAGCATGATAGCAAGGGACAGAACTCCAACTCTAGGGTTCCCCCCCTCTACCCCCGCCACAAACACTGCTAGTCAGGGCAGACTCTTTTCTATTATAAAAAAAATTGAAGCATTTTTTGCTTTCTAAGTATACACTTTAAATTAACAAAAATTACATGATTTAAAATTTAACAGTACCATGTAAACATCAAACTCATCCAGGCATCTGAAAGGTGATTCGGCGATGGACCACAGGGAAAGAATGAAGCAAACTGTTGAGAAAGAACGCTCACCACCAGACAAGGCTCGCATATCATTGAAGGCAGCTTTATTTCCCTCTCCAGGCTGAACCTTGAAGAGAACGAGGTGACAAGAAACAAAAACTAAGTGTGGGAAAAGTCAACTCTTTCTATCTCAAACATTTAAAAGTGCTGAGATAATTTTTTGTTACTGGAATTACACTGACATCTAGTGGTTGCACTGCTTTAGAAGTACAATTAATTATTCAGTGTAAAAGCAGACAGGACCTACGAAGATGCTTAAAAAAATGGCCAAGGAATCACAGCAGAAATGGATTAAAATACATATTTAAATAATTCTTCTTTACTGGATAAATCCATAGGAACAATAAAAAAGTAATTAATGAAATTAAAACAACCTCTTTAACACAATTTCCTTATAATATAAAATCCATTAAGAGGGGTTCTATTTCATTGTGACAGAATTTCAGACACATATATTTCCAAACAAGGTGAAAAAAAACAGAGCACTACCCAGTTTATAAAATAGCAGACATTTAGTTGTCAATATTTTCCAATTCACTATTTGAAAAAATGCTGCTCTCAAATAAGCAATCTTTAATATTATAAGTTTCAAAAATTTTAAATTTAAGCATATATTCAATATGTTTTTGAGGATATAAGAACTCATTTTTCTTAGGCTTATGCCCAAGAATGGAACTGCTTTAAGAGACTCTTGACAGGTTTTCAAATGAATTCTACAAAATTACACTCCCACTAGCAACATATCAGAGTTCTAAATCCACATCCTTACCAACGCAAGATTTCCAGTTTTGTTCATTTCAGTCATCCTAACAGGGGTGGGATAGTAACTTACTGAGGTATAAATTTGTATTTCTTTGATGACTGACAATGCTGAGCACTGTTCCATGTGTTTATTCATTCTTTGGATATCTTAATTTATGAAGTTCCTATTTTAAGCTTTTTGATATATAAGTTTTTTCTTAATATTTATTATTCTTTAAAATTCTCAGTCCTTTATTTTACATATGTAGTGCAAATATCTTCCCTGCTCAGAGCTTCCATTATCACACTTTTAATGTTACTTTTTTGATGGAGTAATTCTTTATTGTAATAAATTGTCAATCTTGATTACTGCTTGTGTCCTACTTTATAAATCTTCATAAAAAACATAAAGATACTCTATTAATTTGACTTAATATGTAACAATTATACATATTTAGGAAGTATAGTGTTATATTTCAAGACATATATACAGAAAGTATTGATCAAGTAAGAGTAATCAACATTTCCATGTTCTTATTTCTTTTGTTTGGAGCCTCTGAATTCCTCTCTTCCAGATCTTCATAAAATAAAAAAGATATATTTATAAACTATAGTCACCCTGATGTGCAGTGAAACACAAGAACTTATTCCTTCTGTGTTTAAGAACCCATTATCCTGGGCTGGGATTGTGGCTCAGCGATAAAGCACTCGTCTAGCATGTGTGAGGCCCTGGGTTAGACCCTCAGCACCACATAAAAATAAATAAAATAAAGGCCAAAAAAAAAGAACCGATTATCCAACCTTCTATCCCCCCTCTCCCTTGACCTTCTGATCTGCTAGTTAATCACTATTTTATATTCATATCAAAATTTATGAGCTTTCACATATGAAAGATAACATGAAGGTACTTGTTTTTCTGTTCCTGGCTCATTTAACTTAACATAATGTCCTCTATTTCCATCTATTTTACTGTTTCAACAACTGAACTTAAGATATAGCTTAATAATAATACTAGCTTAAGAGTGTGTGTATGTGTATGTATGTATAAGTACACATATATATAGCTTGAGTATTTTATATATATAGCTTAAGTGTATGTGTGTGTATATATGTATATATACATATATATGTTTTGCTTATCTATTCACCTACTGATGAGCACTGAAGCTAACTTCATGTTTTGACTAATGTGAACAGGACTTCAATAAACATGGCAGTGTAGCTATCTCTTTAATATTCAAATTTCAGTTCTTTTGGATATCTACCCAGAAGTAGGATTGCTGGGTCATTCAGTCATTTATTAAATTAAGATTCATTTAACTCAAAAATTAAAAATAATTGTTTGAACTGGGTGAGGTAGCACATGCCTGTAATTCCAGCAACTCTGGAGGCTGAGGCAGGAGGATCACAAGTTCAAAGCCAACCTTAGCAAAAGTGAGGCACTAAGCAACTCAGTGAGACCCTGTCTCTCAAATAAAATACAAAATAGAGCTAAATGTGGTTCAGTCCTTAAGTGCCCCTGAGTTTAATCCCTGGTACCCAAAAGAAAAAAAATTGTTTGAGGAACCTCCATTCTGTTTTCCATGTGAGTATACTAATTCACACTGTCACCAAGAATGTATATGAAGACACAGGGGAAATCATTTAAAACAATAGTATAGTCGATAATTTTTTGGACAAGACCCCAAAAGCATAGGCAACAAAATAAAAATAGAAAACTGGAATTATATCAAACTAAGAAGCAATTAACAGAGGGAAGAGAGATACCCTGTAAAATGGGAGAAAATATTTGCAAACTGTTCACCTGACAAGGAATTAATACCCAGAATATAAAATAAAAAGCTCAAAAAAAAACCCAACAAAATTCCAATTAAAAAATGAGTAAGCAATCTGAATAGACTTTTCCCAAAGGAAGAAATAAAAACTGCCAACAAATATACAAAAAAATGGTATAATTTATATGAAAAAATACCATCAGTCAATCAGGGAAACTGCGATTATCTGGTTCTAGTTTAAATGGCTATTAAAGATGCAGAGGAAAGAGAAGACATTCTCTTCTTTTAGCTTTACTGTTTTACATTTCACATGTAGGTCTATGATCAAATTTTTTTTGGTTGTTGCTCCAGGAACTGAACCCAGGAGTGTTAAACCACTGAGTTACCTGCCCAGTGGTTTTATAGTTAATTTTGACACAGGATCCATAAGTTGCTCAGGTTCTCTCCAAGCTGCTGAGGCTGGATATGAACTTGCAATTCTCCTGCCTCAGCCTTCCACGTTGCTGGTATTACAGGTGTGCACCACCTCGCTAGACTTTAAATCTCTAATCACTTTCTGTACTTTACATGAGGTAAAGGGTCAAGGTTTGCTATTTATTTTATCAAAAGTATAACCAATTCATGAGATGACCACCTTTTCCCCATAGGCCTATAGGGGAGTCTGCCCTTAATTAGGAAACCATGTATGTTTGGCTTATCTCTTTATTCTATTTTGTTGCTATCGTATAGTTTTGTTGTTTCTTGTAACTTATTATCTGTAAGTCTTTCTATTTTCCACTTTTAAAAAACTGTATCACTCACATTTCAATGCTTCTTCATTTATCTGGTAACTTTTACAGCTTTGAGGTGTAAAATACAGATAGACATATTTAAAATAAACAATTTGATTAAATTTTAGCAAATACACACATCTATGAAACCACAACTGAAGATAAAGAATATATTCATCCTTTCCAAAGAACGTATTTCCTTTTGCGCCTTTGTAATATGTATCCTGTTTTACTACTCTCTCTTAAGGTCTCTATACCAGTATCCTGCTGTCTTTATTACTGTAGCTAATAGAAAGTTTTAAAGACCTTTACTTTTGTTCTTCCTTTTCAAAGTTGTTTTGGCTATTTCAAGTCCTTTGCATTTCCATGTACAAATCAGCTTATCAATATCTACAAAAAGCATGCTGGTATTTTGATAGAAATTGTGTAGAATCTACAGATCAACTTGGGGAGAACTGAAACCTTGATACTGAAGTCTTGATCCATGAACACCATATATCTTTTTGGTTTCCATTTTATAGGTCTTGCTTACTTTTTGTCAGATTTTATCTAAGTTTTATCTTTTGATGCTATTATAAATGGTATTAGTAAAATTTCAATTTCTGGGGCTGGGGATTTAGCTCATAGCTCAGTTGGTAGATGTTTGCTTTGCATGCACAAGGCTCTGAGTTCAATTCCCAGCACCACCAAAAAAAAAAAAAAAAAAAATTCAATTTCTGATCATTTGTTGCTAGTATATAGAAATTTAATTCATTCTGTCTATATATTGATTGTGCCTCCAACTTTGGTAGTTAGTTGCACTTACTAGTTCTAATGGCTTTTCTGCAGATTCCATCAGATTTCTGACATAGATGATCATGTTATTTGTGAATAAAGAAAATCTGATTTCTTCTTTTCTAATGCATATCTTTTAGTTCTTTTTCTTGACTTTTAGCCTTGGTCAAAACCTCTACTAGAATGTTGAACAGATATGGTGAGCACAGATACACTTGCCTTCTTCCTAATCACAGGATGTAGCTTGATGTTCTGTGTAAAACAATAATAGAGGCTCCAGATGATATAATATTCCACCAAAGAGGAGATGTATCCTTTTATTAGGTCAGAGGCATGGTAAGGCTGGGAGACAGCTGGGTCGGATTTGAGTTGCCAATTTAGTAAGGCTTAATTTATCTTTCACTCATCCTTGTTCCCTGCGTCAGAACTCAGAAAACAACTGAAATCTAAGTCACATGCTTAGTACTTCACACATATCTACTGTCTTGCCAACCCTCTACAACCACCAAAATTCCAGGATCAGCAATTGCCTCCAGGGGGGGAAAAAAAAATCAATAACTGTCAGTTTACTTTAGGCAGGCTCTCCTATCCCTTGAAATTCCAAGTTAACTGTTGCTTCTATGTAGCTTCCCAATGTCTTCATAAACAAATTTTTGTTATTTCCCTGGCTTTTTTGTAGTGTGCAGTGAAAGCAATGAGCTGTCATGATGTATCACTTCTCTACCCAGAGTACAATTCCTCACAATACTTTTATATTTCTATCTTTAATGATGGGATCTCTTAAAAATAAATGGTAGGGTCCACCTACCAAAATGCAATATAACTTCTCATTCTTCTGGTTGTACGTGATGTAGAATCACACTGGTTGTGTAGTCATATATGCACATAGGGTAATAATGTTCAATTCATTCTACTAGCCTACCACCATATCCCTTCTCTTCCCTTCACTCCCCGCTGCTTAATACAAAATAATTTAGGTATGATGTGTCAAAATGCATTCTACTGTCATGTATAACTAATTAAAACAAATTTTTAAAAAATGGTAGGTGAGAAGGTACCAATGATTCTTCAGTGGAAATTTAAATAAAGAAAGAGTAAAAATTAACTTCCTAATTTGGTTAAAATGCAGAGGTTCCAAATGACAAAGATGTTCCAAACACATAACATATCTTCTAAGTATTCAAATGAAGGGATAAAATTTATTGTACTAAGAGTAATAAACTATTTGAAAAATTTTCCCCAGATTAGAGTAGTTGTTCTTGAACTGACTATACAATTTTTATTGCCATATCCCCATACCCCACCTTTAATACATATACCTATGAATGAATCCATAGCCACAGAACCCACAAAGTTGAATGTGCTTTGTGTATTCAAAAGAGGCCAGAGCTAGGAACTACTTCAGAAGTAAATAATGCAAAGACAATTACATTAAGCAGAACCTTCTTGGTTTCCAACAAAGTAACTAGAGACTATGGACTTTACACATGTCTCATATAATTTAAAATGCTGTGTAAAAATTTTTAAAAGAAACTAATGAAGTAGAAAGACAAGATAGTCACTTGTCAATGAAAATAAAGTTCGTAATTATCTGCCTAAGAAAATAATGTGGTTGTCTGGGGGGAAAAAAAAGCAAAACTAAAGTTAGCAGCTTTATTCAGTAAAATACATTTAATTTTTATCACAATAGAAAAAAGATTATCCTTAACTTAGAAATACGTTCTTCTGTTTTCCAAAGACAATAGCTTAAAGCTCATGAATGTTTAATCAAAAGAAAAGCAGCTAACTTTCCTAATGATAAGGACGAAACAAATTAAGATACTTACTGATATAGTAAGAGTTTCATTCTTATGGTCAAAATTCATTTTTCCACAATAAGCTCGCTGAGATAGTAAGTTGTCAAAGTACAATTTGCATCGTAAAGTCAAACACCTTAAAATGAAGAAATTGAACAAATTAAAAAGAGGAAAAAGATATACAGAACTATATTTTCAGCATGATTTAAACAAAGAGAAATACATCAAAATGTTAATCTTGGTTGTCCTTTTAATAGGTGAGTTTTAGGTGGTTTCTTTCCTCCTGTGTTTTTATACCCATTTGTGTTTCCACAGATTTAAGCAAAGAGAAATACATCAAAATGTTGACATTGGTTGTCCTTTTAGTAGGTGAGTTTTAGGTGGTTTCTTTCCTTCTGTGTTTTTATATTCCTTTGTGTTTCCACATTTTAATCAGTCCATTTACTTTTATAATAAACATCTATGTAATGAAGATGTCATCCTACATTTAATATACCCCTTTATACAAAAGCTAGTTCATATGAATGTCAATCATTTGACTAATTTATGGAGACATTATTACCCTAACACATAAGACATAATTATTGTCCTTAAAAGAATTAAGCTCTAGAGGGGTTGGTTAACAGATTAAACTATAGATTTGCCTATTTCCTCCCAACTTCACAGTATCAAAAAGGGTCAGGGCAATCTCTTTATTGCTATAATAATGCTTTATACAATGCCTGGCACAATGCAAACTCTGTTTCCTTCTCTATATAGTAGGTGACAATGTACTATAAGGAAGAATTTTCCTTCTTTAATTTCTTATTTACTTATCTACCTTTTTTATTTAGCAGTTGGAATTAGAAATTATTATTTTACTCATTAATTTATTTTACCCATACCACTCCTTATTGTCCTTATTTTGATCCTCACCTTTGTCTCAGATTTTGCCAATGAAAGCCCCTTCAAATTGGCTCCTATGTTGTTAAATTCATTCTCTCTCTCTCTGAGACACACACACACACACACACACACACACACACACACACACACACGATTTTAAATGCTTTCTTTCCTTTCTAACACAGTAAGAGATTCTCTTGTACCTTCCCTGCCCAGGTCTATAACTAGGCATTTTTCCATGAAACCCTGATTTTTTTATTTGGCATAGAATGGTATTTAGAAAATATGGTCTAGGTAGTAAGTAACTGGCTTTTTTTTTTTTTTTAACTATCTTTACTCATTGATTAGTGTAAGGTTTATTTCTTCAGAATAACTTGATTTTTTTTCCTTTTCCATCCTATTCCTTCCCTAAACTGCTTAACTTCCCATACAAGGAAATACTGACAGTTTGCATTTTCTTTTGCTACCACAGCAACCACTACTAGTAAGTTTTCAGAATTCCCTGTTCACTTTTTTTCTTGCAGTTATAATATGTATTCTTCAATTGCTTCCACTTACAGGATGTCTACAGACTATTGTCATGAAATGACAAGGTTATCCACAAACAACATAGAAAATTTTAATAATTTTTATTCTCCTCCTAAGACTAGGTAAACAATATCAATCATGTCATCAAGGTAATAAACCATAACAGCAATACTTTTAAAAAATAAATGTAAATGTAAATTTCTGGATGATATAAAAATAAAATACTCCACCTGGAAACACATAGGTAGTAATAGAGATTGGGTTTAGACTTTTGTCTAAAACTAACAACCTAGATAAAATATATGAAACAATAGTTTTCAGACTCTGAATACCAGAAGCACAGGCAGCTAGAGTCAAAAATAATCTCTGAAAGACACAAACTGATTAAGCCCTGTGAATATCCCAAACTCCTACTCACTGAAAGAGTAAAGCCTGGTATCTTCTTGTTAGGAGACAGAGCTGGGAGTCTGGGGAACAGAGGACTAGAGAGGAGAGGATGGCTCACAGGGAGAACTACAGAGATCTACCATGGTTTTGCTCCAGTCGTGGGTTGATTACTATCAGTGCACAGGTGTGAAGACACTAGTGACCCTGGGAAAAGAAAGCAGAAGCATCCTGGCTTCCACAGAGCCAGGAAGAGTTCATGTTCCCACTAGCAGGAGTGAATAACCTCATAATTCACAAGACAGAGTATTCAGAAAGAGTACTGCCTTGAGGTATTAACCTCAATTAAAGGTTGCATTTAGTCCCACCTTTATTAAAAGCAGCCCCAATGGGATAAAAATCCCATTTAATTCAAGTTTTAATAATACATCTATAAAATGAAAAACACAATTATGAATAATGCCAACACAAAAGAAATGATAAATGTCTCATGTGATGGATATGTTAATTATCCTAATCAGATCATTACACATTGTCTACGTGAATTAAAATGTCACACTATAACCTATAAAAATACATTACTATTGTATAAATTTTAAAAAATGAAAATACACTTCAAAACTAACTTACATGTTAAGAAATTAATCAATTATATTTTTCTTTAGGGGTTTATCTAAATTTTTCCATAAGTAATACAGCTAGATATATTTTTATTTATTTTATGACCTTAAGATTATAGAATTTTGGATATAAAGATAGTTAAAAAGCATGTTACTGAGGCAATGCCACTGATAGAAATAAGTTGGGAGGACTAGGGCTGCCTTGGATCCAAATATATCCAGAGTCATTCCTATCAACTGTCTTCTTGTTTAATTCTGCCATCTGTGACATTAGCTGGAGTCAATCCATTGCTATGAATCTGTGTGCATGCATCTTTGAATATGTTGTTCATTTCCATATTTATTTATTCAACCAATATATACCAAGTGCCTACTATATTTGGATACAGTTGACACTGAAGAAACAAAAATGAATTAAACAGTGTTTCTGCATTTACAGAACTATGTCATTCTAGTAGACCTTGGTAAATCAAATGGTCAAATGCCTTAGCAGGCCCCACCAAACACTTGTATCCTCTTAAGACCAAATCATGTCCAACGGTGAAATAAGCTGTTTCAGAATCAATGAGTTCTCATTCAAAGAATCTATTCAAGCAATGAAAGTCATCTAAGAGTGAAGGATACCTAGCACAGTTGGATAACTTGCTTGCTATTAAAGGTTCCTTCAAATCAGAATTCTTTGATTACAGAATCCTAAATGACAAGTACTATTTCTGTTACAAATGAATCACATAATGTTCTTTTAACTTAATTTTATTATCTATAAAGCATAATGTGAAAAAAGAAAACACAAACATGTAATATATGCAAGTAATATTTTTTAAATATACTCACCTTCTAAACTGTTGATATGTTTTGTATCTATGAGTCATTATTTCTTCTAGTAATTTAATAAATCTTTTTAAAGTCCTTACTTTATTATCCAGATCAAGGTATGTTTCTCTTGCTTCCTGGTACTGCCTATTTTATGAACAAAACATTAAGTAAGTAAACATCATTCACAAGAAAAGTAAATAAATCTCAAAAGCATTTAGCTGGGAGAATAGGAAGGCAGAAAGTATGGTGAGTACAAAGTAGCAGCTTATCTCCTAATTCCCAGTCAAAAGACACCTCTAGAATGAACAGGTTCCATACAACGAATGTGTTACACTGAATAAAAATTCAAGCTACAAAGAAAGTAGAATACCAGGAGCATATAGGTGGCAAGTCTCAGAGATATCAGCAAACACACACCTTCTCAAAGTGAAGGGGTCACAGGAAAAAAGAGTTTCTTTGGTGAAAAAATGAGGGGCTCAGGGAGGATGGATACAATTCAAAGCACATGTACATGTATGGAAAGATCATAGTCAAAACCCACTAATTTGTATAATTAATGTGCTTTAGTTATTATAATGTAAAAAAAAGATCAATGGAAAAAAAATGTTTCCCTTAGTGACAGATGTCAACAAGGGAACAGAAGAACAAAGGACAATATTAAATCTCTCTACCCTGAACAAGATAAGATCAAAGAGTCAGAGAAGGAAGGCATGGCTACTCAGAAATGCTATTAGAGAAGGCAGTACTGACAGCCTGATACTGCAATAAGAAAGACATAGATCCTAACTACGTATAAAAGGCAACCCTGGCCTAGGCTCCCACAGTTATTCTTCACAGCCTTCAAATAACCAGTCCAGGTAAATTCAACTGATTGAAAAATGAGTTACAAAAAAATATATAGACAAAGACATTTATGGGGAAAAAAAAGGGCTGTAAAAGTACAGCAAAATTCTATAAACAACAATACAAAAACTTACTATAACAATACTCCATAAGACAGATAAAAATTTTAATTAAACACTGTAAAGTAAAGGGAAAAATGATATAAGTGCTGGCAGGAAAGAGTACCTCCTCAAAGCAGAAATAAAATACCTCAAGGGCTGGGGTTGTAGCTCAGTGGTGGAGTACTTGCCTGGCATGTGTGAGGCACTGGGTTCAATTCTCAGCACCATATATAAATAAATAAAAATAAAAGGCCCATTGATAGCTTAAAAAAATTTTTAAAAAACCCTCAAAAAATCACAAACATAAAATGGTTTGCCAAAATAATAAAGACAAAAATATCTAAAATTTGTATAACTGAAGACCTCAAAACAATAAAATAGAAAATATTCAAAAGATAAAGAAAAATCTAAGACTTAATGCATACAGAAAAGGAAAAGCAATCACAGAATCTTACATTCCAGACAAACTGCAGGGCTTTAAGGAAAAGTGCAATCATAAATAAGATACTCAAGAGAAAGTCAAAGCCAAAGAATTTACATTATACAAAATTATCCTTTAAGATATAAAACTAGAGGAAAATACTTATGAATCTGCAAAAACAGCCGATATTCATATGTGCCATTTTGTAGGAAACAGAACAACTTTTCAAATGGATGCATTTGAAAAACAAAAAATCCATTCCTCACACTAAACACAACAATAAACTTCAAATAGAGCAGAAATCTAAATATTAAAAAAATATATATGTAAGTTATAAAAATACATAAGTGGATACTTCCATAATTTAGGTGTAGAGAAAGGCTTTTAAAATATTTGACACCAAGCTAGGAGTGGTAATCCCAGTGACTCAAGAGGCTGAAGAGAATCCCTAAGTTACAAGCTAGCCTCAGCAACTAATTGAGGCATTGTTTCAAAATAAAAAATAAAGTGTTGGGGATATGGCTTAGTTAACACTTATGGTTAAGTGTTCCCGGGTTCACTCTGATAACAAAAAAGTAAAATAAAATTACACCAAATCCAGATACAATAATAACAAAATGAACTAAATAATCTTTTCATGGCAATAAAAAAAAAAAAAAAGAAACCATCCCAAGTTAAAAAACTCAAGACAAATGATGAACTGAGAAAAATGCTAGCAACACATAGCTAGTATTTCTCATCCATATTATCTAAATATGCTCTTAAAATTTAAGGGAAAAAGATTTTTTAAATGCTTAAAAAAGTGGGAAAAAACAGATAAATCAAAGTATAAAAATAGTTTTTAAATATATGAAAAATATTTTGATTTTATTCATAACGATGGAGTGTGATTAAAACTACATAAACATACTATTTTTTAGTCAAAGGTCAGAAAAACAACTTATAAACTTTATATATATTCTGCTGGCAAGGTCACAGGAAAGCATGCTCCCATGCAATGTTGGCGCAAATGCAAAAATGGTTCCCAACCTACGGAGGGGATTTAGTGACATCTGACAAATTGCTCCTGTTTTCTCAATCTTTTTTTTTTTTACATGAGAAGTGTTTCATGGTGTAACAGCTGCAATTTTCTGTAATTTAACCATTCTTCAACAGTTGCACACTATTTTTAATTTTCTGGTGTTAATAAATAATACAATAAACATCTAAACACAAACTTGTTCTATTTTATACATTGTTATAGCAACAAAATAATCGGGCTCTGTTGAAATTTCAACATTTAGACACATATTGCTTAAATGCTTCTTTGAAAGATGGTAATAATAACTAATACACATCTTTCCTACCTATTTTGTTTACTAAGAATTATCTCACTAGTTCAGGGTTGGGGTATAGCTCAGTGGCAAAGCATAGCATGCATGAGGTCCTAGAACCCATTTCCTAGTACTACACACACACAAACTAGTTCAGTTACAACTATATGCCTTAGCAATACTTCATCCAAAAATGAAAGACCTATAAACGTTTTTTTAATGTCTTGATAATATGTCTGGATTATATAATAAACCAGAAAAGCTACCAACCACTCTTACCTCATTATTTCCTCTCGATCTCCATGACTAGCATGTTCTGCCTGTATCTTTTGTCTTAATCGATTAATTTCCTTGTCTAGAATTGATGCAGACTTTTTTACTTCTATTCGCTCTGGGCAGATCTGTCTTGCTTGTGACATTTTCTCCTAAGAATACAGGAGTTTAACATCTTTTTATTGTTTTGTTTTTGAGACAGGATCTCATTGTGTTGCCTGAACAAGCTGGGATTGAACTCGTGATCTTCCTGCCTGGACCTCTTTTATAGCTGGGATTATAAGTGTGTGCAATTAAACTAAACTTCAGTATCTTTAAAATTCTTCTTTTATAAGATAATTCATTATATCATTTTTGCCAAGATATGAAAAATAAAATTCTGAACTTACGTTCAATATTTGTATTTTAATTACATTTAATATCAATGTTATATAAGTAAACTTTATATTAAGGACAGAGTTCAGAGCTGTTATAAATCTTCAAGAGAATATTACAGGGCTGGGGTTGTAGCTCAGAGGTAGAGCACTCGCCTAGCACTGGGTTCGACCCTCAGAACCACATAAAGTAAAATAAAGACACTGTGTTCACCTATAACTAAAAACAACAACAAAACCAGAATATTACATTCACTGTATATAAACTTAAAAGAGCAATAACAAAAAGTCAGCACCCAAGGACTTGAGGTCTGACACAACTTTCCATGTGCTTCAGGATGCAATCTGAACACCAATGGTATTAAAAGCACACACACCAAAAGACCCTATTATTTGTAAACAATGCAAATTATTTTATAATCAAAACCTTCTCTATTACAAGTATGAATAGGGAAATGATTAAATTGTTTTCCTTAAGATTATAAAAGCAAAACTAGAATCCATCTAGTTTACAAGACTAGCTTCAATTTATTCACTAAAGTCAAGGCTGCTGCTTAGTTGTCAACAAGCGTGACTGACAGGAGCTAAAGTGGAGCCCAACCCACACCCCAGAGTCTCAAATGAAGGGGTGCCTTTTTCTGATAGTATGCTGGCCAAGTAGGCAGCTATATTAGCCAAGTGAGTGCCATTTTATCAGCCATGTGTACTGCTATGGGATAGAAGGAGTCTTATCTATTCAGTCCTCACACTTTGAGGGTCCCTAAGCCTCTTCTTGTGATGATTCATCCAAACACCTGTTAATCTATAAAAGACAGAAATTCAACATTTGTCTGTTTTCAGAAACATGACATTAGAGAAAATACACTTTAATAATCATGAGTAAGGCTACAATAAAAAGATTAACATGAAATTTAAAAAGTTATGGTTAACCTCCAGCTCCTTTACTTTCATGTCCAGTTCTCGTTTCTTTTTATTTAAGGTATCCAAGTGTTCTTTTTGTTTTTCTTCATAATGCCGCTTCCCTCGTTTTTGATTATCCACTTCAGCATCAGCAAGGTTTAATTCATCCTGTTTGAATAAAAACAAAACAATCTATAAAGATTACTTTAAAAAAATTTTCCAGTCCAGGTATAAAATTAACAACTCAGTAAAATGGGTAAGATTATGCTGCATGAAGAATAAAGGATTAAGAGTTTATGTTCACAACATGTCTGAAGTAAGGTGTTTCCCAAAATTAAGAAATCACTTTATATCCAAATTTTTATAAGAAGTCTCCATATGTTATGATACATTCAATTATAGTTTTTGTAAATAAGGTAGTTTATAGAGAATCATTTGCCTTAAAAAACTTAAAATAATGCAAATGCTGAATACAGTAGTACCCTCTTAATTTGTGGGGATATATTCCAAAACCCCATGGACATTAATGAACCTTATATTGCTATGTTTTTACTACACACTAGGCACAAGAGATTAATAATAACAAAAGAATAATTAAAACAATATACATAATGTCAATGTGGTCTCTTTCTTGAGTCAATACAAGTAGTATTTTGGACTGCAGTTAACCAGGGTAACTGAAACCAAAGTAAGTGAAATTGTGGTTTAGTGGGGACTAGTGAAAATAATCCTAGAAAATGCACAAACTACAGTAATAGAAATGAAATGGTGCTTATCTAAATATAAGGGTCAGGAAACTGGGAGGGAGAGATTAAAAAGGAACATAAGAAACTTAAGGGCATGAAAGATTATGTCCTTTTTTCTGATTGTGGGGAAAGTTTCACAGGTTTATAGATGTCAAAACTTACCAAATTGTACATTTACATATGTGTATTTATTGTACCTCAATTATCTCAATAAAATGACTTTTTAAAGGCTACTGATAAGAACCACCAAATAAATTTTAGTTAATCAGTTCACTTGTATTTTTGGGCTGATATTGGTCAAATATACCATAATCATGTTTAGCGTCAAGAATCATAGCTATACAGAGACAGAAATAAACAATCCCAAATGATATCATAAAAGAAAACAGATATTCAGAAAAGGAAATAACTATCCACATCAGAAATCAAGAGAC